TATACTGGCCGAATGGCCGTAATAAATTGATTGATTGATTGATTGATTTCCATGAACTGAATCTTGCTAATTGTTGTGCTGGTCTGTGTATGCTTGTTTACAGGTATATGCTTTAATCTATTTTTAATTTTTTGATTATTTAATCTAATTTGAACTTTTATATCTTGTGAACTTTTAACTATATGCTTTTTAATTTGTCATAAGCTGCTTTAAATCTTGAATTGGGAAAAAAGCCAGGTTAGAAAGTACAACAACAACAACAATAATAATAATAATAATAATTAGAATGCACATTCTAGTTCTGAGTAATAGTATGAAAAGTTAATAAGTCAAATCATACACCTTGAAGATATATCATAAAATCAGTGCATCAATCCTCTAACAAATGGGTTGAGAACATGTGGCCTTCCATGTCTTACTGGACAGCAGTTACCATCAGTCCTGGCCAGTTTAGCCAAAGGTGAGATAATGGGAGTTGCTATTCATGAACATCTGAAGGGTTCAATGTTCCCCTTCTTTGCTATAACATGTGTATTGCAATGACACAAAAATAGCAATGCAAATCTTCACTGATTCTGTTATTGAACAGAATAATAATAATAATAAATCCTAAAGTTTAATTCTCTTTGGGTAAGATTTGCTGTTGTTGCTGTATGCCTTCAAGTCATTTTTGGCTTATAGTGACCCTAAGGCAGGAGTAGGCAACCTTTCCCCTTTAAGGGCCGAGGGACTTCAGCTCCCAGAATCCCAGGAGCTATTGGCCAACATGGGACTATTGGCCAACATAGCTGAGGCTTCTGGGAGCTGAAGTCCCTCGGCCCTTAAAGGGGAAAGGTTGCCTACCCCTGCCCTAAGGGTTTTCTTGGCGCATTTCTTCAGAGGGAGTTTGCCATTGCCATCCTCTGAGGCTGAGAGAATGTGATTTACCTAAGGTCATCTAGTGGGTTACCATGCAGAGCTAGGAATTGAAACCTGATCTCCAGAGTCATAGTCCAATGCTCAGACCACTACGCCACACTGGATCCCTTTGGATAAGATGATAAGGTAATTTTTTTGAACATAATTTTTTTTATATTGTCAATGCTCTTATTATTTTAGGACTTGTAAACTAAAATTTCAAAGGACTTTTTTCTGCAAAACAATTTTTCTGCTTTGGTGTTACTGTTGGCGGTGGCGGGGGGGGGGAAGACACTGATCTTTTAATCTCTTACAGGGGGTGAAAACAATTATGGTGATCAACTGCTCCAATTGTTCATCTGTCTTTTATCTTGATCTGTTGAGACACCCATTCTTGCTGAAGTTGATAAAATCTCAAAATCCTCTGTACATAGTTTTATTACACAGAGAATGGCTTCCTTTCAGTGGCAGCTTAGTGCATTGCCTTCAGCATCCACACTGGGGTGTAATTTAAGCTTTAAAAGAGCTTTAAAAGAGCTAGTCAAAATGTTGACTTCTAGCACCAAGTTAAGTTCAGCACCATGGACACATCCTTAAAAAGTGGAAACTAAAACCCAGAGCAGACTCACTGTCTTTTTGATATGGGCGCCATTAGTTACCACTATTGGTATAGATAAAGTGGTATTCTAAGCTGTGCTTTCTTTGTTTGTAATCTTATCTTTTTGGAAATGATTGTGATTAAGTGTTATAGCCAGGGTTGTTTCTAAGGGGGCGTGGACTGCTCTGGGTGACACTTCAGATGGGGATATCTGCCTTCCATTGTGGAGTGTGCCACTTCATGGGTTGACCATGACTCTCATAGATTGAGGGTTCTGAGAGAGATCTGGTCCACCTGCCTGGAGGCTGCAAAAAGGCCGGTTGGGATGTTGTTGGCTGTCAAGGCACTCTTGCAGGCCTCTCCCTTCACCAAATGACAACTGGGCCCCCTATGGGACTTGTAAATGAGGCAAGTAGACAGGAAGAACCATGGACATAGACAGTCCCTTTGGATGCCCTTGCCCACCAGCCATCAGCAGCAAGTGGACTAGAGCTTTTCTCTTCTATAGTGGCTGATCTACTTCTGAGGGACCACTGGGATGGAAGTTCTGAGCCTGGGGTGGCTTGCATGAATTACTGCACTGGGGTAACACCATCCTTAGTGATGTCACTGATTACAGCCATACTGTGCTGGCTTCAAAACCATCACAGTATTGTGTGACAAAGACCTTCCTTTGTCAAAGAAACCTGTCTTTTACTAGGAAAGTTTATTTGTCCATCTACTGACTCTGGTCAGCATTCTAGGATTTTAGAATGCTTTTTCAGTTCTTCTTGGAGATGTTGGATATAGATCCTAGGTTGCTCGTACAAGTGAAAATAATATATTCTGCCACCAAGCTATGGCCCTGTTCTGTCATGTTTATCTTGCAAACTCTCTCTACCAGACCTACGAAAGTTCCTTTTAAAAATTAACTAGTTCCAGTTACATTTCCATGGCCATTCTCCCCAAAGAGTTGCTTTTATGTTACACTTAACCCCAAACTTTACTTTCCCAATTTCTCAAATGTAACTGAAATAGTTGATTTTGGTTTAACTCTCATCAAAGATGAGACACTTTAGACTCCCCACAGTTACACTTTGTTGAAGGATCCCCACTAGACCAGCTAAGCAGACATGTTATAACTTTGACACCTGAAGAGATGTAAACAAAGGCCTTGAGTTTCAGCCATCTGGCATGTAGGTTTTGTTTTTTCCTGAAACACCCCCCCCCCCCAAAAATGTATGGATGAAAGTTGTTCCAACAAAACTACTACCTTTCTGTTGCTTCCTATTGTTGTTTAACTACCTTCCAGTTGATCCTGAGTCATGGTGACCCTGTGGATGAAACACCTCCAAGACACCCTATCCTCCACTGATCTGCTTAGGTCCTGTAAATTAATACCCGTGGTCACCCTAATACAGTCTATCCATCTAGTGCACACTCTTCCTCTCATTCTACATCATTCCACCTTTCATAGCATTGTTGTCTTTTCTAATGAGTTATGTGTTCTTATGGTCTTACCAACATATGATAGCTTCAGTTTGATCAGCTTGGCTTCCAAGAAGATTTCTGGCTTGATCTCCTCTAGGATCAATTTGTTTGACTTTTTTGGCTGTCCATGGTATTCTCAGCACTCTTTTCCAGCACTACATTATCTCAAATGAATTGATTTTTTCTTAGCTGCTTTCTTCACCCCTTTCCAAAACAAGGAAGGCTAACAGCTATCCAAAATATCATAGGAACATGGGTTTTCTGACTCTGGGTGTTTGGGTATGACATAATCCCCTTCATGCTGCACCACAAGAAGCAAAAAACTTTTAATACCCTGCAATACTTTGGAATCCTCACTGGAGTCAGAAAATGTCCCAAACATTCCATCCTCCAGATTAGGGTTCAAATCACATGAATGTAACAAATCATTGACTTGTGTTACAAACATTTCCCCCCATTCCATCCATCACAACAGAGCATGAGACAGCAGCATGAGAGACAGTATGAGCTAGCACTTTAACCATGCTATATACTTCCTCCACTATTAGAAAAGTAACTAAAAACTTACAGTTACACACCAGAACAGTAAATTTTCACCCCATTAAGCCACAGCCATACTATAGCTCAGCTGTGTTCTGGTTACTGCAAAAAAGGAATTGATTACAAGTAACTAATTATTTATAATTTCATAATTTCTTCTTTGATCAGAAAAGGTGTCATGACACATTGAGACATCCTATCAAACAAATTTCAACACCCCCTTTTCAGGAAAAAAAAAGACTGTACCTTTTTGGAGCAGCAGCAGTAACAGAAAACAGAAAAACAAAGCTTTTCTTTTCTTTTCTGGTCATGGTGCTGGTGGGGTCAATTTTATTAATTTTTCAATTGCAGGACATATTTTTGTGCAATAATCCTTTGCATAAATAAATATCACAAACAAGTATCCCCAAATGTGAAAACTCATTGGAAAATGCACCAAAATTCTTGTCATCTCACCCAGTGTGTGTGGAATCATTTCACAAGCAAAAATTAAACATGTGAAGATTTATATCCCAATCTGTAACTAGTTATTTCCTAGCTGTGCTCTATGTTACCAACAATGTGATGCATTTGGCTGTACTGCTGCAGCTCACATCTAGTGACACTGGAAATAGTCAAGATGTACTAACAGAACAATTGATCGTCCCCATCCCTAAGCATTACAATGAAAGTACAGAATTTCAGAGGTATTTTGTGTTTGTGTGTGTGAGTGTTAGCGAGAGAGAGATCAGGAAAAAGGGATAATCCAGTCAAGCCTGAATAACCTTTGCTTTTTGCAAATGAAAAACACTTACATGCTTGAGAAGTTTGCTTGGTTTTAAAGCAAATAAAGAACCCTTAACACATGGAATTAACAAAGCTTTTTTGTTTAATCTTCAACATGTTTGCATAGAAAATACAACCAGTATTCCCTCAGAACAGCAGAGAGAGAAAAATATATAAGCAGAACTGAAATTCAGTTACAAGGTATGTATGAATTTATTTAATCCCCCATGGTTTTTAAACCCTGCAGCTTACTAATGATTGGGTGAGAATGGAAAACAGTCCACATTGATTTCTGCTTGAAGTATATTTTATCAGAAATGGCTTGTTAAAAATAACCGTTAAGAATATTGATTTGAAAGGATAAACTGATACACAGGAAATGAGTGTCTAAAGGGCAGTAGGAATTATCTGTTTCTTGCTATTGGAAGGAATGGTGACAATCTGAAGCCAACAAGATCGTTTATGCATCATGTTAGCCTCAGCTACGGGGAAATAATACTGTTTGTGTATTCCTGATTCTCCCTCCCATGGTCTCCAAAAGTTGCCCTGTGATTAAAAAGCAAAAAAACAAAAACAATTTTGAAACAAAAAAGCATTCAGGAAAGGATGTGTCATTGTTTTTTAAGCCAAATTATGATCCCAATTTGGCTTTATAACAAAGTGCACACTTCCCCGCATTTCTTGTTTTAAAATAGCAATAGCAGATATGGAGAGAGAAAGAAAAACAATTTTACATTTGGTATTTTAAAAACTTATTTCTCACCAAAGAGACTTTCCACAGTTTTTGTAAAACAAAGTCCACAGAATGCAGGAAACAGCAGGAAATGAGTAAAAATTCTTGTAATCTTGCACAACAAGGAGATTTTTGAAATCTTCAGTTTCTCTCACATGAGCATGAAATAAACAAAAGAGCTATGGAAAACTATATACATCTTGGACAAAGTCTGCCATGTTGATTTCACAAATTCAGGTGCTACTGCTGAAGTGAACTCCCAAAATGTCAGTTGAAAAGATGCTTTTCAAGTGACTGTCAATCAGTCATTTACACCCGAGAACAGACTTGATTCACTCCAACTCCACCCACATGGAAGTTTTGCTTGTTTAGTTATCTCTCTGTTCTCAACCGCAGAGGAGGCTCTAGTCCAAGTGAGAGGGATGTGCAGCCCTCCAGATGTTGCAGCAACTCCCTTGATCCCTAACCAGAATAGTCCATGGTGAGGAATAATGACTGTAGCTTAGCAACATCTGAAGAGCCACACTGTTCCTACTCCTGCTCTGTAGCTTGTTGTTTATCACCTAACTTCATATTTCTGGGGGACTGGACACACTACCTCAGATTATATGACTACATTATGCTGGGAAGAACATGCAGAGAAGGAGATTCTTAATATGAAATATCTTGAACTAACCCTAAAAACAATAGCATAGTAAGACAGAGAGGGGGAAGGAGAGAGAGTTTTCTAATTGTTCTAACATAATTTGAATGGACTAGTGACTCAGGAATTTAGGATTCTACCATATACCAACTATCACAAACACAGTGTATACTTACAAGCAACCTATGAGCAGATTTGTTTGCTTTTTTGTACTGCCTTTGCTCACAATTTGTTAGCATTTCGCTCATAGCTAAATGGTCACTGGACTCCAATCCTAAGTTATCATAAAGTACCTTTTGTAAATTTAAAGTCTATACAACCAACACCTCACCAAACCCAGTACATCTGTGTCTGTATGTATAGAATAATAGAATCA